TCGGCAGATAAACCAAAAAGAATCGGTCAAGATGTCCATGATAATATCACAGATAACCCCCATCACGACGACGGCCCCGCCCGCTGTGTCTGTCCCTCGCCATCATTATACATCTCCTTCTCAGCCATCTCCCGCCACCGCTTCTGCCTGCCCATCTTCGTCCGCTCGAGCTCCTTGAACGCGCTCACGACATCCGCCTTCTGCTGGCGCGTGCCCGCCGCGCGGCATCGACCCCGTGCGCCAGCCTCGTTTCTCGGATCCGAAGCTCCTGCTTCCGCGTCGCAGGCGGCTGCACGCTCCGCCACAGGCCCATGACGGGGGGGCGACCACGCCGACGATGCCGCCGGCTGGCCGGATCGTCGCATTGGCAACTGTAAGAGGAGTTGGCCCAGTGCGTCAGAAGGCAAGATAGGATCTCACAGCTCCGCAGAGAGCCTTTAACAGCACCGATAAACCCTTAATGAATTGAGTCAATGAATATTGTGACTTGAAGGCCCGCCACAGTACCTCTTTCTGTGCGCCTTCATACGGTTCCCGCACCAAGCCGGTGATTCCGTCGTAATAGCCGAAAAACAGGCCCTGACAAAGGCGTTCATCAATGCTCGACGCTCGGCGCATCTCGTACCTTCCCACCCTCCTTGACACCGTCTGCAAAGTTCCCCACCTTGCCTGCTTTGCGTACTTTGGAACCATACAGTTTCGGAACATTCGCCACCCCTTGGTGGATGGACGAAACGATATCGATCACGCCTGCCACGAGTTGGAGAGGTTCAGAGAGTATACTGCATCAGACTCACCGCGGGATGGCTGTCGTCGTTTTGACGATACCATCCACCGGTTTGCTTCGCGGGTCAGTGATTTCATGCATCTGAGGTTGTCTCTCGCTTACTAGAATATCTGCGCAATTCCCGCATAGTAGTTCGTCACCGTCCAGAATATGGCACTCGCTCCGCCCGTGACAGGATTGGTTATCTCTTTGACCGAGTCATACTCCTTCGAACCTGTGATCGCATAGTCAGTCATGGCCAAAGAATCATCTATCTCACGCACGATGGAGCTCAAGGTCTCCCGGTTTGATGAGCTTGGCATCGATGAGGACTTGAGCTGCAAACGTGCTGAATTTCAAGCACTGCAAGGGGTTGTTAGCAACCAGCAACCTCGGGAGCACGATACTAGTTACATGCTCTGTGGACCACCAAGCAGCCACCCGCGCCGAATCCATATCACATCTCATGTTCAACAGCGGAAGATGACGGTAGAAGCTGTCCACGCCTTGGTTCACCCCATTCTGAGACACAGTCAGTGTGAACAATCGCGCGAACCAAGTACTGACCTCGTGTCGGATCTGCTCGCCCATGCGCCCAGCAGCAGCTCCAGCCTGAGGACTGACGGCAAACTTGAGGGCGTCGCACAAGTTCTGCGCGGTTAACTGCTTATGAGGGATGGGATCCGGTCCGGCCCCAGCTTTGTGGATCATCTCGCCTTCGTACGAGTTGTTCAGCGACTCTAACTACAGCTTGATTGTTGTGAGCACTCACCCAAAATGCCTGGTCTCCAAAGAAGGGTACCACGACCGTCGGTCTGCCTTTCGCTAGCCCGATCGCAGTGGTACCAGCGCCTCCGTGGTGGACCACCGCTGAGACTCGGTTCTCAGAGAATAGCCAGTCGTGGGGGACATTTCCCAGGATGAAAACGTGCGAAGGAATGCTTTGGCCACCGAGGCCACCCTGTACGTTCATGTTACGAGCTGGAACTTTACGACCAAGTTACAAGAAGTCGCTTACCCAGCCAGCGGACACTAGGGCTCGAACACCTGCTTGGGCGGTTGCTTCGAATATTATGTCTGCAATTCGTGTCAGATCGAAACCTTTCATGTGAAAGCAGGAAGAGACGGACTGGTCAAAGCCACAGGGTCGTCCACAACGATCGAGCCAAAACTGTGCCCGTCTCATACTGTGTGCGAAGGAGCATGGGAGAGACACACCCAATATAGACAGGCGCGTCCCCAGCTCGTACAAACTTGGCCAAGTCGTCAGGTGGCGTATAACTTGTTGCGAGATCGAGAAAATAGAATCCGACTACATCTATGTGCGCAGCGATTAACCCGCCCGACAGCAGTCAAGGTGAGCACGCCTACCGATATGATTCTTCCAGTCTTCAGGTTTGGGAACCAATGCTGGACTCATGCAATACGTCCAGGGCACTTTGAGACGGTCCACGACGCTGGGGCCCGATCGCAACGAGAGTGCCTCAAGCCCCAGGGTATATTTACGGAACTTGTTGACCAAGTCGCCCATTCTGCACAACATTGAGTGCCTGGAATAGAATTCAGCAAGAGACAGCCAACCCTTGCCATGTAAGGATGTCGGCCAGTGCGTAGCTGAGATAATTAGTGAGCCCGTTCTCTGCATTAGAAGCTTTGATGTTGACGAGCGGGTGCGGAAATGCGCGAGTCGGCGTCCTGCGTCCTGCGTTAGAAACATCACCCTTGGTAAGCAGAATAGAACGGTCACCAGGGCATAGCTATCGAGAAAGAAGGTTGAATTGAGGCAGTGATGAATTCCGTGGTCAACACGCACTGAAGCTCAGTAAGAGCGGGATTCCGAGTGCTTCGGCGCAATGCACATGGGCAAAGGCAGGAGGGTTGGATATGATGGCGTCCGCAACGAACGCCTGCCCGGTGCGAGTGGACGGAGAGTGGCACGCCGACCAGCACCCCTCCATGACCTGCGTGAGCATCTTGCGCTTCCTTCCGATATCACCGTTCGTCAACGACGCCATCCCTGGCACCAAGCCCGGATCTATGCACACAGGTCATTTAGAACACCAGGGGCGTTAGGGAGACGGAGCGACGCACTCTTCACCATATAACTCATCAGCTCCTGTGGATCTCCCCCAATGTCAAAAAACTCCAGCTGATCCAAGGCCTGCTCTTCGACGAACCCCTGGAACATACCGTGCGTCGCAATGCGGACGCGGTGGCCTTCTGCGACCAGCGACTTCCCTAGCGCGACGTACGGCTGGACGTCCCCACGGCTGCCGACGATCATGATAACGATGCTAAGCGGGGGGCAGCTCCGCCACGTCTGCGACGCGTCGACGCCGAATTCCTGCACGTTCTGTACGATCTCGATGGGCAGGTCGGGCAGCGCGCGTTTCAGGTCGAGAGAGATGATGATGCGGCCATCGGGGGAGATGTGCGCGGTTGAGGTCAGGCTTGGCCCGAGGCGGTGTAGTCGGAGTAGTCTGCGACACGGACATGAGATGGACTGTTCGCTCGACGCGGGTCATTGCGGTGGATGTAAAAACCTGTTCGGATGCTGCTTCTGTCATAGTCAGAGTCCCGGGGGACGTCTTCTGAGAGACGCTCTCGGTCTTGCATGTGAGATGGGATACTCATGGCGGTTGTGGTTGTGGAGGGAGAGCAGCGATGCGCGAGTAACGCGACCCGTGGATGACATCATGTGGGGGCGGTCACCTGTGATCTCGAACTCTAGCGTAGATCTCAGAATGGTGACGGAGCCGTGAGATGCCTGGAATCCTGCAGAAAATTTGGACATCATTGTTCCAGTACCGGTACGCCCTGTCATGAGCATGAGGCGGGCCCGAGACCGACTGTCGTTGACCATGTGATTTCACTCAGGCAGAACGCGGGCACGTGCTCTCCACATGATTTTGACGGGGCCTCTGAGCAGAGAATCATCAGTTCGCTGTTCGACGTTTGACGTTCGACACTCGACACTCGACGCTCGACGCTCGCCGTTCACCGGTGCTGTCGAAGCCGAAGTTTTGGTCTCTGGTCGCTGGAATTTACTGTCCCTGGTGGCGTGTGTGCGGCCTTGGTGCAAGGTTCTTCTACATATTTGTGCCCATCGGATATTGTGTCAGACAGAATTGTGCACTTGTCCTGTACAACAGTCATGTTGGAACTTACTGTGTTTTTATACTCAGAGGTCATCAGTAATCTGTTTGTGCAATGGAAGGGGCAAGCGCTCAACTCTCAAGATAAAATCCGAGAGCCTCCACTAGAGTTGCTCGTTGACCATTGACGGGATCCGGGCCGACTGGTAGCGACTCCGGGGCTTACAGAGGGCGATCTGATTTTCTTAACCAGAGCTTCCAAATGCATTACTCGGAATCCTGCAACTGATAATCAAAGTGAGTCAAAGATAATCCTATGTTTCCTGGTTGCACTGTATCTGCAGCATTATAATGATATCCACGACCCGGTGGACATCGCCTTCTTGGTCTAGTAGTATGATACTCCCTTCGGGTGTTGACCCGCTTCGATAAGAAGTGCAGATGGGAGTGGTCCTGGGTTCAATTCCCGGAGAGGGCCTTTTTGACAGGATCATCCTTGGCATGCGGCCTCTTCTTTACGGCACACTCCGGGCTTCCTCTCGATGTGACAGGTCTGCTGCTTGTCAAGATTTAAACCCGTTTTATATTCCGAGGCCGGGACGGCAATACTCCGACAAACTACCTGTTTCCTCTTCCTGCAGTGGTTTCCTGCCGAACTCAACCGAATGTCCAGCTACCCACCCCAAACGACATTGTCCTACACTGTTACAACGGTCGACGACTAACAGCGCCTGACGGAGATATCCAGGTCTGTCTAGAGATCCATCGCGTCCAATTCCTGGTCCATAATACGTGCGTCTTCATCCACGTCCATCGCAGGCTCAAATACTGTCGACGCGCGACTGACTGGCGGAGGAGCCCCTCGACCCCGACCGCGCGCCCGACTGCCTCTCGGTCGACCGGGTCCCCGACGTCTCGGAACTGACGCAACGGAAACGTCGTCCTCCTCGTCATCGTCATCATCATCCGAGTCGTCGTCGTCCTCTTCCACGCTGCGCCGGGTGGACGGCGCGGCCGCGGACCCTCTCGGCCGCCCCCGGGGTCGGCCCCTCGGCCTCCCACTTTTCCCCCGACGTGAACTAGGCGCAGCACGTGCCGCGCGGCTGGTGCTGGTAGGCGGTGGCGGCGCGATAGTGTCGTCGTCGTCGTCCTCGCCGTCGTTATCGTCGTCACCCTCGAAGTAGTCGACAACGTTGCGCACACGCGTGTGGTGTGGGTCCGCGCGCGCGTCGCCGGCCCGGGCGGTCCCGTGCTCCTCCTCTATCTCGTCCTGCGTGCGCTCCTCGTCGTGCAGGAAGCCCTGGATGTCGGGCGGGATTTCCTGCATCTGCACACTCGGCGCGCCCTGCAGATAGCGCAGCTTGGTTTTGATGGCGGTTGTGATGCGGCGCAACGACGCGGTCGTGTTCTGGTTGTCGATCTTGCCCGTCAGTGGCGGATGGAGTTTGAAATGCGAGTCCTTGAAAAACGAGTCGTACTCCGTCGCTGGGAGATTGTTCGACACCTCCGCCCCAACCAGGACTGACGTCTCGTATGTCCAGCACCGGCTGACGTTCTTGATCGTGTAGCCACCACCGCCGACAACGAGCATCGGGATGTTGAACTTTTTGACAAAATTCACGCATTCGCCGTGAGCTGCGATCGACAGGTTGAATGCACCCAATCGATCGCAGCCTAACGAATCAGCGCCGCACTGCAACACGATCGCGCTCGGCCGGAAAGCATCGATCGTGTCATTCACGACGGTCTTGAAGGTGCTCAGATACATCTCGTCGTCGATCCCATCCTGGAGCGGAACATTCAGGCAGAAATGCTTCCCTAGGCCGTCACCGTTATCGTCCAGTTTGCCCGTCCCAGGAAAGAAGTCCCCTGTGTATTTATGGAATGAGAGTGTCATTACCCTGTTTGACTGATAGAACGCGAATTCAACTCCGTCCCCGTGGTGAATGTCGATATCGATGTAAAGCACCCGCGGATGATATCTGCCACACCGTTTTCGAACCCGGAAAAAATATAAATAGAAGAAGCAGCAAAATGCACACCTGAGCATCTCGAGAATCGCGAGAACGATATCGTTGACGTAACAGAACCCGCTAGCTTCCCCGCGTTTCGCATGGTGCAGTCCACCCGACCAGTTGATCGCGATGTCCGTCGTCCCCGCCATCAACTTCCGCGCACCTGCCAGCGACGCGCCCGCGTACATCTTCGCGAAATCGTACATATCCGCGAAGATAGGACAGTCCTGGCCGTCCTCGCCACAATTGAACTGGTCGATCATATCGCGCATCAAATGGGAGTTCATCGGCGTGACTCTGCAGCAGAGATCAGGCAGAACATCCGGCTCATGCGCCCAACACCCACTTGGAGAGAAAATCGATGTAGTCTTTGTCGTGGTACGCTTCCAACTCTGCGCGCGTCGCAGCGCGTACGTCGTAGATGTAGTGGATCTTTTTGTCCAGTCCGTAGCCCATCACAAGCGCGTTGGTCAGCGTCAGCCGGTGTGGTTTCATTGGGTGCCTGCGGTTGAATTGGGTTTCCATGAATTACGACCGAGACACAGACGCACATCGAGCCATAGTGATGCGCTCCCACGCCCTTCGGGAAGTAATACGACACAATAGGACGCGAATCCATCTATACAGCCGTGGAATAAATCAGCTTTACTGCCCGAGACCCGGTGGAAATGATTGCGGGCCGCTGAGACGCTGCATACGCACCGAGATGCGCTCCGTGATGGGGGTTGCGGTCCCATGAGAGCCTCTGTCGAAGAAATATGGTGACGCGCTGAATGTACTCGATTGGCTTCCCCGGGCCATCGCGATGTTCAAGTTGAGCTGCAACGGAAACCAGAATTTAGCTGTCCCTCTCAGGCTCAAGCCGTCGAGCTATTCGTATTGAGATATTATTATTTGATATTTTGAGAGGTTCTGGTGCCAGAATTTCGATAGGACAGAGTCGATAAGAGGCGGGAGATGGGAGGTGCGGTACAAGACGCTTTGATGGCCATCAGTGATCGATGATTTGAGACTCTGTCAGCAGGGCACTTCCGTCTTTCTAACCTGCCTCCTCCTTCCTGACATGGAACGATGCTAATCCCAAGAAATCGACGGGGTTCAGTGCATACTCACATGTGCTACACAACTGCTTCTCACCTTGTATGCCTCATGGTACCGGCCAACGACGTTGTCGCCAATGCGTGAGCTTGAAGGAATAGGCGCGAGCTTTAGGACATGAGAAGATAACCGAGGCGATATGGTACTTTCTTGGGGGACCCCACTGAGTCCTTTTTATCTGTCTCCTCCCTAGCGTTCCACCCCATCCAAACAGGCGTCGAAGCTGAAGGCGTTTTCGCTGGCGTCGCCTGCGGTGATTCGAGTTCTCAAATACCAGGGTTGAGATGTCCTTCTCTCGAGCGGGGAGAGTTTCTCTACTAGATGCAGACGAGTGTTTGTCGGCAGTGGATTTCATTGAATTGATGGAACGTGTTGTTCGAATGCTCGTCTAGCTGAAGCTGAATCATTCGAATCATTCGAACCATGTTGACCTTCAAATCGATGGGGTTTAGACACGATCCCGATACGCTAACCCGCGGATTACTATGTGGGGACTATCAGGAACTGCCGGATTGTCGCACAACACGCCGTACATGTAGATTTCATTGGATAAATAGCTTTAGCACGTATCAGTCAACATAAGTTGTACCACACCCAGTCAGTCCAGTCTCTACAGGTCAGAGACCTTGTAAGCCATCCACTTCGATTTACCAGTCTGCACGAGATATCCATTGTTGCGCACCGCCACATGATGCGTGATCACAAACTTGTTCTCTGCCTTGATTGGCTGAGCGCGAGCACGGCGCCCTCGCCCACCCGCCTCCGCACACGGCGCGAAACCACCTCCGTGGCCCGCTAAGGGTCTCTCTCCGCCCCCTGCAACGGTCCCTGCGATCCCGGCGCCCGCGGAACAGCCCCATCTGAGCCCTGGTCGACGACAGTGCACCCCGTCGCTCCGCGTCGTTCTGCACGATCTGCGGCCCGCGCGACTCATTGATTTCCGCCCGGAACGCTGCCGAGTGCGTTCTTGACCCCCTCGGATTGCGCTCCGCACGGCCGAACCCGACCTGTGTGCCACCATGGCCGCCGCGAAGCTGACGCCATACACCCGAACTCCATCCCCCATACGCTCGCAGCTCATCAAGGTTGTGCCGGACTCTGTACCGTCCACGGACGAGCTCGAGGCGCTGCATGAGGAGCTGAAGCTGCTCAAAGCGCGTACGCTGGAGCGTGCGAAGAAGGTGACCGAGGACTTCAAGCAGATTGAGGAGACGTACAAGAGAATGAGGGAGAAGGAGAAAGGTAAAGCCAAGCAGATAGAAAAGGTCAAACGCGAGCGCGACTGTGCGTGTCTGATTTATCCTGACCCGACGCGTTCGCGGATGCTGATCGTGTGCTTTCCTTTTTGGTATCTCTTTCTTTCTAGTTACCCCGCTTCCCGAGGCCGACGATATCAGAGTCAAATCGCGTATTCAGTCTAAACCTGTTCCGTCTCTTCCTCCGTCTTCAGCGCGGTCCTCTTTAGACCCGAGAGGGTGAGTGATTCAATTAAAGCCGCTTCGAATACTCTTTCAACAATCGTTGCAGAGATGATGCCAAGAAGCACAAGAAGAAACGAAAGCGAGACGACGAGAGCGACCATGAAGGTGGCATTACCGGCCCTTCTCTTTGTGAACCGTTCA